TGTCAAAAGCCCTAATAACATTCTCCTCCACATGAGTACTAGCCAAAACATCCTTCGATGAGTAAATCGTCAAAACAAGATAATTTTAAAAAAATTTGCAAGCGGAAAAATGCATTTAAGAAAATATCTTTATCTTAAGGCACAAGAAAAAGGACAGTTTCATCTGCAAAATGCATATGAGAAATCTCTACCCCATCGGACCCCGCAACTAAACCCTTCACTATACAAAGTTCAATACCCAGTTTATTTTTTTCTAAAATAAAAAGTGTATAATTCTATTAGTATAAGCACCAAAGGAGTGCAAACCTATTTACAAAATATATTTACAAGTTAATCATCGTCTCTATTAAATCACAAAATCCTCCATTGAGTGCAGAAATTTGACCTCAAAAAAAACCTAAGATTCGAAACCATCTAACTCTAATCTTATCAAATATCCTCTTCCTTCCTATCGAACATTGTCCTATTTCTTTCTTTCCAAATAATCCAAAATATTGCCAAAGATATGAGTCCCAATTGTTTTTTCTAAATTCGTAAATATACATCACTATGTGTTATTGAGTTCTATTCAATTATATCCCAGTATGTTCTGTTTAATCTTAAATGCAGCCAAATGTTACCAAAGAACATGAACAGTACAAAAAAAAACAAGTCCATGAAAAAGCTAAATGTACCATGTCGCTGGAATACGGTGAAGAATAGGTGAAAAGGAATCTGAATGTGCACGCAGGGAATAATGCATTTTAACTGCAAACAACAGAACAAAAAGAAATGTGTGTAGAACAACCATCACCTTTGCAACTGTTGAACCAATACGCTTTTCTCTATCAGAAGCATTTTTGTCATTTCCGCGAAGAATGTAGTATTCATATTGTTCCTTAAACCTGAGAAAAACTTAATGCTTCATGCATGATACACCAACCTTAACAAATGAAAATTACAGCACAAAGAAGATAGTTACCAGTTTTTGTCACCAAGTAAACCAGGGCAACAAAAGTGGAACAAGGCCCACAGTTCCTATGTCAAATAACAAAACACGAGACAAGTAAGTATTGCTTCAAATGTCTCAAGTATCATAAGTGAAGTATAGTTATTGTTTTGAAGGATCTAAATTATAACTTCCAAATACTTTACCTTAAGATTATTCTGAATAGGTGTGCCACTTATTATTATACGATGAGCACACGGAATGTCAAGCAAACTTTTGGCCCTTTGTGTACTAGGATTTTTAATGAGATGACCCTGGAAGTATGGATGTACCAGCGGAGAAAATCATCAGTATTTATA